CTCGGCTGCAAAGCTCAGAGTCTACTGCACCTCGGCTCTTCGTCGTAAGTACATGGCAATCACAATAAGCATGCCCTCACCTGATTATTTGTCCTTACCTAAGCACCCTTTCTCAAGGGACCTGCTTCGTCAAAACGCACCACACGCATTTAATGCGATTGCTCCAGTAAGGCATGTTACATTCACCTAAAACGTCTACTCCGTCAGGCATACCATGTCACCATTATTGGGTTGACTATGCCACGTGGGTGCGGACAAGCCATGTGGGTACATTGCCAAGATGGACAAAGCCCACAAGGAAAGGCACGATAAATAGACGGAACAAAAAGGGGAACATTCATTAGAAACATACTGACTTAAGCATTGGAGTTTCTCCCCGAGGACCAACCTCGGGATTTTGCAAGACCACTTGGAGAAGAATCACACTGAAGCAAGGTCTTGAAGGTTTTTCAGCAACAACAAGTATTCTATTTCTTTACTTGCAAATTCAACACTCGACCTTACCCCTTAATCAAACTAAATCTTGTCAATTAAAATATGAAATCTAAGTTAAGATCATAAATAACCTTCAACCCGATTTTCGCTATAAGCGCTTGCCAAACTTCTGTTACTGTTGCGATATGCTTGATCATGTTAAATGGGACTATGAGTTAGGCCTAGACATGGAAAAACAAGGAGTGGCTAAACATCTTTACAGTGAGAAATTACGGGCATCGCCCAAGTACATGCACGATTTGATGAACCTAGTGGGGAGCGATGGCTTAGGGATGCCACCGGCAATCCAGTGGCGATTGGAGTTTGACGCGGGCGTCAAGTCCTTAGTTTGGCATGCGCGAGGATTAAAAGATTAGAAGGATCTTCTTTCGGTTACGAGTAGAGAGATGGGTGGACTAGTAAAGGCGTGATTGAAGGAGGGTGCAAGGAAAGCAACCCAGTTGGCATTTTATTAGAGGAAAGTACTGATAGTAGTCGGTGTGACACAAGTTGTAAATTGAGAATTGAACCTCTTACTAGTCCATACAATCCGGACATGATAGATACGATGTGAGGAGGTTGGAAAATGTCAGTTAATGCCTTCACTGATGTGGATTCTGAATATCAAATCAATGGGTGCGAGATTGAGGCAAAGGGGAATTTTGAACTAGATGGACAAAATGTCACAGATCTAGGAGGCCCAACGTTGAACCAAGTACACCAAAGCCCAAGCCCAACAAATCATGAGCATGGCTCTATTTTTATCTTTGCATCAAGCTCGAATTACACTACCCCAAAAACAAGAGCTCGGAAATGAGAGGCTCATGAGCACAGGTCTGCACAATCTCTCATATCAAAAAGGAGGGATGAGCAGGTCTCGCAAGTGGATGTAGGCCAAGTAATCTATGAAAAGAGAGGAAGAGGAGAGGGGGTTGATGGTAATCAAATTATCTTGTCAGCGGGTGCGGTCATGCAGGCCCGTTGGTCGCCATGAGTCTTTTTTGTTGGCACTATCGGGGCTTGGGAACCCTCGAGTAGTTCACTGCCTCATCGAGTTGGTGGGGCTAAAAAAGCTTGTAATAGTGTTTCTTTGTGAAACATTGTGGACAAACGGGGAATGGAATGAGTTGTAGGCGGTTGGGTTTTCGACGTTGCTTTACAGTAGAAAGAATAGGTCGAATTGGGGGGCTTGCTATGCTTTGGCACAATGACACTGTGTTGTCCCTACTTTCCTACTCTAAGAATCATATTGACATGGCAGTTGAAGGTGCAAGTGGAGATTCACCAATTTTTATGGACACCCTAAGAGATGTAACAAGAGATGCTCATGGTCTTTACTGCAGAATATCGTTGGCCAAGAGTCCTTATCGTGGCTAGTTTGTGGGGATTTTAATGATCTTTTGAGCCAAGGGGAAAAAATTGGAGGGAATCTTCAGCCATATTGGATGATACAAGGATTTAATGAAACTATTGCAGCCTGTGGCCTAACAGAAGTACAAATGGTTGGTGGCAACTTCACCAGGAAAAGGGGAAAGGTACTTGAGAAGCTAGATAGGGGTTTGGCCTCAACTCCTTGGAAATGCCTATTTCCTCAAGGTCGAGTTCGACTGCTACCACCGTTGTCATTGGATCATACCCCTCTTTGGCTTACTATAGATGGGCGTCAAGAGAAGCAAAATAGACATAGAAAGAAATTTCAATTTGAAGAGATGTGGCTACGGGATGTTGGTTGTCAAGAGGTAATTCAGACTAGTTGGCATTCAATTGGTGGGATAGGTGACTAGCATAGCTTGCTACGAAAAGTACAAGCATGTTCAAACAAGTCTTGATTCCTAGAATTCCAAGCACTTTAGAAATGTCAAAAGGCGCCTTAAGTAGTGCTCTCAGAGCTTGAAAGCATTGAACCATCATACTGATTTTGAAGCAGCGTGTCTTGAGGAGAAGTGACTACTTGCGGAAACAGAGGAGTGGCTTGAAAGTTGAAAAAGAGGAGATAATGTGGAGAGAAAAATCGCGAGAAATATGGGTTTAGGAAGGGGATAGAAATACCCAGTTTTTTCATAATAGAGCATCTCGACGCAAGGACCGGAACAAGGTGGTAAGGTTATTGACGGATCGAGGGGAATAGACTGCCAATTTAACTGAGCTAAGAGGTGTTGTCACAACATATTTTACACAGCTTTTTAAAACTATACGACCCTTAAATATTGATGATGTAACAAGTTGCTTAAGCCCACGAGCTGGAGCAAGGGAGAATGGTTATCTACTACATGATTTCGCTGAGGAAAAGATCACTAAATCATTATTTCAGATGCATCCATCAAAAGCACCAAGGCCCAATAGACTAACACCACTTTTCTTCCAAAAATTCTAGAGCACCTTGAAAGACGATGTGGTTCGGCATGTTTACAATATTTAAATCATGGGGATGCTTTCCCACAGAAGTTAAATCTCATAAACATTGTTCTCATTCTAAGTGTAATGATCTGAAGACGATAAGTGATCCCGCCCCATTAGTTTGTGTAATGTGATTTAAAGAGTCCTTGCGAAGGTTTTGGCAAATGGATTTAAACAGGTGCTACCAGAAGTCATCTCCTTGGAACAGAGTGCTTTCCTATCAAATATACTCATTATTGACAATGTTTTGATTGCTTATGAAGTTCTCCACTTGATGCATGCTAGGAAGAGAAGGAAGAAGGGCTAGAAGGTAATAAAACTCGATATGAGCAAAGCCTTTGACAAAGTTGAATGGTCACACTTAGAGGCTGTTATGAGAGCTTTAGGATTTGCAAAGTGATGGATCTCTTTGATCATGGGATGTGTTTCTTCAGTTCAATATAATATTCAACTCAATGGTGTGGACGATGGCCGGGTCATTCCATCTTGGGGATTAAGGCAAGGGGATCCTTTGTCCCCTTATTTGTTTATTTTGTGTGCCGAAGGTCTTACGGCAATGATCAAGGATGCAAAGAGAAGGAAGGTGTTGCACGGAATTAAAATATGTAGACAAGCCCCCACAATCTCTCATCTTTTCTTTGCTAACGATAATTTCCTTTTTCTTTGAGCAACTGAGATTGAGTCTATGAATTTGATGATGATTCTACAGAACTATGAAGCTGCCTCTAGTCAGGTGATTAATGCACAAAAATCCTCAATCATTTTTAGTAGCAATGTACCACAAAGATCTTGAGATATTCTCACCTAGATTCTTTGCATGAATGTAGGCAACCACTCAAGACGATATCTAGATTTTCCTATTTTTGTAGGCAGAGATAGAACTGTAGTTTTCTCGGGCTTGAAGAGTAAATTTTGGAATAAAATTGGTGAATGGCGGGAGCAACCCCTCTCTAGAGCTGAAACCTGCTCGTAGCATGACTTGGCAAAGCATCTTGCGCTCTATCTCACTATTAAAGCAAGGTTGTAGGAAGCTAATTTGGTGATGGTCGAACAATCGAAATATGGGGGGACCCATGGCTTCCAGGGAACACGTAATTCTATGTTCAATCTCCTTAGCCTAGCAATTGTGCTCTCTGTTATGTTATAGATCTCATTGATGAAGACATGCACACATGGAAGCGAGATTTGATTTTGTAGACTTTTAATCTGTTTGGGCAGCTTCGCAGTCCAACACTGTTGAAGTTGAAGTTCTTAGCTGCTTTCACACCTGAAAATCCCGAGGTTATTTCCTCGGGGAAAACACTCCGACGCTCAAGTCAACAATACTCAATATTATAGAGAGAGAAGTTCTCCAGGAGTAATTGCAGAGAGAGGAGCGTAGAGATTTATTACCTTCTTCGGAGGTAGTTGGGGGGCATTTATAGCCCCTTGGTGCTGACACACATCTGCACGTGTAAGCATCCTCTTGGCCCACGCGGCGCTGGTCACATGGGTATGCTTGTACTGATGCTCCTTCAGCCTGGGCTAATTGGTGGTAACTTAGGCCCGTTATGCACAGCCCTGTTTGGGTGTTGGGCCTATTCCAACATTACTCCCCCCCCCGGTGTTCGGTTGACGAACTGGGATGGATGTGACCGTGGGTCAACGTGCTAGCTGGTGACCATGACGGATAGCTTTAACAGCTTACGGCCGACCTTGTTGACGGTCGAGCTGAAAGGTAATACGAAAAGGGGCGAGCTCGCGACCCTGAAAGTGTGGAGGCGAGCTGATATCCTTAGCCGCACTAGTGTGGGCTTGTTATGGTGGCGAGCTGAGATAGTTCACCGTAGATGAGCTCGCATAGGGAGCGGCCATGTACATAATGCCTTTTTCAACGAGCTCGTCCGCGTTAACGTGCCCACTGGAGGGCGTGTGGCGACCTGACCCTTGATTATTTGCGGAGTGCGACCAAATGATGCTCTTTTGCCATGATCGCGAGCTGAAATTTTGGAGCCAACACGGGTAGTGCTGTTAAATAGGACGATTTCAGGTGCGCCTTGATCTGTGACGAGCTGAATCTTTGGGAGTTTTTAGTAAACGACCCACAATTGTAAACGAATTGTCACGGGTAAGCCGACCTGGCAAATATGTCATATTTGTTACGACCTAGTAAGTGTGTTTGCAACGGCGAGCTGATGTGACGGAGTAGGCTACAGATCAGCCGTTACGATCTGAATCTTGTGGATTTTGAAAATCCACCAAATCTCTGAGGAGATACGGTTGATCTCCCCGTATCCCTCTGTCTTCCTCGTCATAAATGTTGGCTCAGCATTTGAGGGACGTGACAGCTAAAGCCGGCGCACGTTATGCAGAAGGGACGTTAAGCGTGTGCCATGTGTAGGATGCGAATTGGCGCGTCAGAGACACGCGTACAGCCATTAAGACTGGCATATTTCCCTTTGCGTAACCGTTTCTTTTTCCATTTTCACTTTTGCGTTTGCTTGAAACCTTCTGAAACTCTCTGAAGCGAGGCAACTCCGATCTTGAAGAACAGAACATCGAACCAGCTTAACGTCGTTTTCAAGTAAAATGGTTTCGTTGAGAGAAATATCAGAGCTATGAGGTAACCAGGGCAGAGATGGAGAAGGGGAGGCGGTTTTATCAGTGGAGCCTATCACGATGATAGTGCCGCCTGAGTTGCAGGATTCGCCGGAAACAATGGCGCCTGAGGGAAGCGTCAGTTCGAGCGCTAAGGATGACGGTGGCGACCACCGTGTTGCACCGTCGAGCAGCTCATCCTCAGAAAAAACACCTAGCCACGAGGAAGGATGAGGGATGTGGTTAGCCATGTCTCAGATCGGCCCATGATTGGTGAGTGGGAGAGTAGGACAATCACGGGCAGGTTGGAGAACCTGCGAAAGGCGCCTAAGGACCTGCCCATTGGATTTAGGTTCCGGGCCGCGCTTCATCATGAGGTAGCAAACTGCATGCCCTCAATCAGCGGGTACAGAAAATTGGAAGATATAGTGAGGGCGTACCACGTTCCCCGGACAATACTATTACGAACAGGCGCACCCAATGAGAGGGCTTGCACGGTGTCACAGACGGGCTGGATCCCAGTGTATGTGGACCACTTTGACGCCGGCCTGCGATTTCCCCTGCCCGGATTGGTGTTCGATCTGCTGGCGGATTACGAGCTGGCGCTGACACAGCTGACGCCCAACAGCATAAGGTTTATCATTGGCTTTATGCTGTTGTGTGAGCGATTAGAGGTACAGGCCAAGGCGATCGTGTTCAGGTCGCTGTTTCAATGCCGGCTGTGTCCCAACTCCTGAGGCGCGAAGTGGTACTACCTTTCTGGGAGAGACAAGAGCCAGTTGTTCAAGAATGTCCGGAACAAAGTGGCGAGGTGGAAGAGGCAATTTATATTTGTTCGCGACACGCGAACGGAGAGGATAAGCAGCGACCTCGCTGCCCAGCTATCCGAGTGGCGTGTGCCCAATGCACACGTCAACTACCCTCAATTACTGCCACGGGACACAGACCTCAAAAATCAGCTGCTGGACTATGCGAGGAAGGAGAATCTGATAGATCTAGACGCCTTGGTTACCTCGGAGCAGCTTGCTGTGTTCGGGTTTGTCGATGTGGCAAACCTGTTCACTGAAGGTATACATTTATCGTATATTCTGAATTCTAGCCTAGCTGAGTCTCATGTATTTGTTTGTGCAGGAGAAATGAGCAGTATATTGGAGCGCCAACGTCAGCGAGCCCAGAGCTCCCAAGGTCGCGGGCCGGGCAACACCTCGCAGAGACAAACGCGATTCAACGAGCGACCGCCAGCCGCGCCTCAATAGCGCAACTCGTCCCAACGAGGGTCCAACTCGGCATCTAGGCCACGGGCTGAACACAGAGCTGAGGTTGCGGCCCCGAGTGCACATAGACGTGCACGCGAGGAGACGGAGAGCGAGGAAGATGAGGTCCCTCTTGCTCGGCGTAGAACAAGCGGGGGGACTCAGCCCGGCAGGCGGCTCGTCCTGCAACCGTGCGTTCACCCAATGCGCCGTCAACTACTGCGCGGGCAACAGTCGAGCCTGCCACTATATCGGCTTCAATGTCGAGCCCCAGGATTGCTTATCCTGAGGGCTTCAGCTATGTGCGAGCAGAGTGCCAGCCCGCCATGATGCAAGGCATGCACAGCTTTGTGCCCCCTATGGATAGCAAGCGGGCAAAAGCTTTTGTGCAGTAGCATGGCGGGCAGGTCGCCATGATAAAACTGATGGATGTAAGTATCTGCTCGTACCTGCTTGAATGTTTTGCTTTTCCTTTTTAGAGACTAACAGTGACCACTGTTTGGCAGGCGTTCAGCTACGCAGTAGCACTGTACGAGAGCGAGCAGGGGGCTCGTATAGAGAACCAGGAGCTCGGCTCAAAGTGCAAACAGCTGGCCGCGGAGAAGGCTAGCCTTGTGGACAATGTGAATCATCTGCAGGGCTCTGAAATGGCGAACCGAGCTGCGGCTGCAGAGAGCCGAGCGAACGAGCTCGTCAATAGGATCAATGAGCTCAAGGAGGAGCTAGAGCGAGCCCATGCGGAGAGAGAAAACGGGATTCAAGCGGCCAAGGACGAGGCCGCTCGGGTTGAAGAGCGGGCCAAGAGGGCTGAAGACGAGAGGGATCGTGCTCAGACGAGCTGGGTTCCCTAAAGTTCCAAGTTGCTGAGGCTGACAAGAACCTCAGCGCTACCGAAGAGGCGCTGAACGCATTGAAGGCATCTCATGCGCACTCCGTTGGTATTGCCCGAGCTCAAGGGGCAGAATGGCTGGTCGGCTCGTCCACGTTCCAAGACGCAGTGGCGGTGGCGTCTGCAAACGTAACCACGGAGATCTACAACGAGATTCGTGGGAAGGTGCTGCACCACCGCCTAGATTTTCCAATTCGCGAGCTGGTGTTCTTTGACGAGGAGGAGCTTGACGACCAGGGTAAGAGCCTTGCTCCCCTTGCTGACACGACTGTGAGGCTGAGATGGGATTTAAACGAGGAGGACGTGCCCGTCTGGCCGCCGTCCGTGCTGGAGGACGGGGAAGATACAACAGGGCTGCCCTCATTTGATGCATGGGTAGAGGGTGCTCCTGTAGCTGAGCAGGAGCCTTCAAGCACCCCACCCAACTCTCAGCCCACGGGGGTGCTAGCCAGCTCGCCCGTCCGTGCACCATTCTCTGAGCCCGCAGCCCGGTCTCCTCCAGCTCGCTCTCCTACAGCTGCTGCTGATGCATCTATGCTCGTCGACCTGACGGATGACTAGACTAGGGTTTTTTCTTTTTGTCTTTTGTATTTTCTTTTGCTTACTTGTATTGGTCAATGACATTATATGTCATGTACTTCCACTGTAAATGATAATTGATTAAATACAAATTGAATTCCCTTTTTGAACTTTCTGTGTTTTGATTTCTCTATAAAATGCTATTTACAACTGATCCATGACGGCCCGAACACTAATAACATACACGTTAACTGAACAGCTAACTCTTAACTGTAAAACTTTCTAAGATTGTGTATGTTCCAAATGAATGGTAATGGACGACCTTGTAAATCTGCTAATCGGTAAGACTCAGGTCGTTGAATAGAAATAACCATATAAGGTCCTTCCCAATTAGGTGCGAGCTTGCCCATGTGCGAGTAAGCATTCGTCAATCCAACTTTACGTATAACCAGGTCGCCGACTTGAAACTGGCGAGCTCGAACTCTTTTATTGTAAAACTTTGCAACACGACTTTGATGCGCCATGTTTCTTATTCTAGACATCTCCCTGACCTCTTCCACGAAGTCTAGGTTTTCTCTCAACAGTTGCTCATTGTTGAGATCGTCATGCCAGCCTGCTCGATTAGATGGCAATCCCACCTCTACCGGGATGACGGCCTAAGCTCCATAGGCCAGGCTGAAGGGGGTTTCACCCGTGGCCGAGCTGGGAGTAGTACGACATGACTAAAGCACTTTGTTGAGCTTGTCAACCCAACTAGAATGTGCAGCCAAAACGCGCGTCTTGAGGCCTCGCAAGATGATTTTATTGGTGGACTTGGCTTGTCCGTTGGACTGTGGAGTATACACGGACGTCAAGGCGAGCTCAATGCCATAGTCGTTACAAAACGATCTTAGTGCTGCTGCTCGGAACTGTAGCCCATTGTCGGCGATAATCCGCTTAGGTATGCCGAACCTGGACACAGTTGAGCGAGCTGAGCTACAAATCCCGTTTGCATATATTTTATGACCTCGGTCATCAAAGAATACCTGCACAATATTGAATTGAACAAGAATTCTTCTATTTTCCTTTCTGTTGTCGTGGACAGCGGTTTAGCTTCTATCCACTTAGTGAAGTAATCCACTGCAACGACCAGGAAAGTGCATCCTCCTTTGCCTTTGATAAAAGGACCGAGCAAGTCGACACCCCATTGAGCAAAAGGCCAGGGAGACGTGAGAGACGATAGCATTTCCCCTGTTTCAAGGAAGATACCTATGCTTAGTTTAGAGACAAACACGGGGTTTGCATGTTCTTTAGAATAGGCTAAGATACCTAGCATGTGTATATCATCAGCATTGAACTGGCAGGTCGGACATTTTCTGACATAGCTCTGCGCGTCCTCGACCATGGTGGGCCAGTAATACCCATGCCTCAGGAGTTTCCAAGCTAAAGTTTTGCCGCCGATGTGCGTGCCACATACTCCTTCGTGAACTTCTCTCATGGCGTATTTAGCTTCGTAAGGAGTAAGGCAGCGTAATAGGGGCATTGAGGCTGCTCATTTGTAGAGCTGGTTATCTAACAAAGTGAAATGTGCTGCCCTTCGTTTAACCAATTTCACGGCGGACGGATCTTCAAGCAGCTCGCCACTTTGCAGATAATTTATGAGTGGGGTAGTCCAGCTCGGTGTAGAGGGATCCATGCTTAGCAGTTGACACTCGACCGTGAAATCAATGTAGCTCGAGGCATCCAGCACTTCAACGATGGTTGACCTCTGAGGGTTAAAGTCCCGCGAGGAGGCCAACTTTGACAGCTCGTCAGCTCGGTGGTTATCTGCTCTTGGTATTTTGTCGATCTGGAAAGAGGCAAATCCTGACTTCAATTTATTGACCACCGAAGTATAACGACCAAGCTGAGGATCCCTGATTTCACAGCTGCCTTTTATCTGGCCTACCACGAGCTAAGAGTCGCTGAAGACTTGAATGTTCTGTACCTTCAGCTCGGACGCCAGCTTCAATCCATAAATGAGGGCTTCATACTCTGCAGCATTATTGGTTGTTTGGAACTTAAATCTCAGCGCATGCTCGGATTTAAAGCCATTAGGGCGTAGTAACACAGCTCTAGCACCCGATTCGTCGACATTAGCAGCTCCGTCAACAAACAAAACCCAAACTGGGTACTTAGGTGCCTTTTCTTTCACAGTCGCCGGGGCGCATTCTACCAAGAAGTCTGCCACAGCTTGACCTTTTATAGTCGTGCGCGGTTGAAATTTGAGGTCATACTCACTCAGCTCGACACTCCATTCGATGAGCCGACCAGAGAGTTCTGGCTTCTGCAATATTTTCCTTAGTGGGAAATCAGTATAAACAACAATCTGATGAGACTGAAAATAAGCTCTCAGCTTACGAGCTGTGCAGACCAAAGCAAAAGCAGCCTTTTTTGCTAGCGGGTAGTTCTGCTCGGCACCTTGTAACACTTTGCTCACGTAGCAGATAGGCTTCTGATTCTTATTCTCTTCTCTCAATAGCACTGAACTCACTGCTTCTTCTGTGAGCCCCAGATAAAGATACAAACATTCCCCATCGACAGGCTTAGACAGCAGGGGTGCGGATGCCAAATATTGTTTGAGCTCGTCAAACGCTTGTTGACATTCATCAGTCCACTGGAAGTTTTTAGGCTCCCGCAGAGCTTTGAAGAACGGGAGGCATCTTTCTACCGATCTGGCTATAAACCTGTGCAACCCAGCTACCCAACCTGTCAGACACTGTACGTCTTTTACTGTGTTGGGAGGTTCCATCTGCCGAACGGCCTGTACCTTCTCTGGATTTATTTCGATTCCTTTCTTGGATACCACGTACCCCAGGAATTTCCCCGATTCCACAGCAAACGTGCATTTCAAGGGATTCAGCTTCATTTGGGCTCGGTGTAAGTTTTGAAAAGTTTCATCCAGGCCGTCGATGTGATCCTCAGCTCGCACGCTGGTGACTATCATGTCATCTACATACACTTCTATGTTTCTGCCGATCTGGAGCTTAAAGATAATTCGCACCAGCTTCTGGTATGTTGCTCCAACATTTTTGAGGCCGAACGGCATCATGACATAACAGTAGATTGCGTCGCCAGCGTAAAAAGTTGTTTTTTCCTGGTCGTCTAGCAACAGCTGGACTTGGTGGTAACCCGAGCTGGCGTCAAGAAAACTCATCCGTTCATGTCCTGCTGCCCGTTCCACTAACTTCTCAACGTTTGGCAAGGGATGAGGGTCTTTTGGACACGCATCATTGAGGTTGGTGAAATCAATACACATCCTCCACTTGCCATTTGGCTTTTTGACGAGCACAGG